AGGATTATGACTTCTCTTCTGCACCAATCTCCCCCCCCCACTTTTTTTCAGGGGTTTTGTTATGTAGACTGTAAAAAAGTGGGATCAGTACCTTACACAAATTTAAGAAAACCCAAATAATATAAAGTAATGGTATTTGATCCTGTGGCTTCATCTACATTCCCCAAAGCAGGTGGAACTAAATACCATGTTACAAAGCTGGAAAGAACACCATGGATTATCCACTCCTATCATATATCCTGAGCCAATATGCTGTCTAGTTTAACAATCTTTTTTTTAAATCCCCAGACAGAAAAAAAAATTATCAAATAGGAGATTCTACAATATTTGAGTGCAGATTGCTCCTTTGCCTGCAAGAGCCTCGTGGCACAGTGGTTAAACCACTGTACTGCAGCCAAAACTGTGCTCTCGACCTGGGGTTCAATCCCAGGTAGCAGCTCAAGGTTGACTCAGCCTTCTGTCCTTCTGGAGGTTGGGAAAATGAGTATGGGAGCAATGTGTAGCCTGCATAATTAACTTGTAAACCGCCCAGAGAGTGCTTGAAGTGCTATGGGGCAGTATATAAGCAGCTCTCTTTGGTCTCACAAGCCATTAACAGTTAGATTTCCTATTGTGTCACTTAAATCCATTGCTTCTTGCACTTGTCTTCTATTTCTTTCTAGTATTTTTAAAATATTCAGATGCTTTGGTTGGGCCTCCTTGATCATGAGGCTACCAAAATAAATAAGCCAGTAAACATTCTGTGATGAAAGGCCCATCTCTGAAACTGATTGAGAAATGTTTCTTCTCATCACTGAAAGTGCAAGAAGAAAATGACGTCTTGGGTACAGAGGAACTGCAGCAGGTATGTGAAGTACATCAAAGGAGAGCAGAGAGAGTCAGTCTTGCAACAGAGGAGTTAAGAGTGCACAGTGGAAGGCACAGCAGGAGACAAGCTTTAGATGCTGCTGATCGGTAGGTAGTCTGTCCTTTTGGCCCTCGCTTCTATTCTTCATGCACTGATATTAATATTATGGGGCAATTGCTAATTGTCTCACTGCTTATCGATTCTATCAAATCATGAGACAGAAATGGTACCCCAGCCTTCTAATTTTCAGTACTAAAAATACAATTTCCACACATATTCTACACATTCAATAGGCACTCTGGAAGTACATAGTGCATCTATCTATCTATCTATCTATCTATCTATCTATCTATCTATCTATCTATCTATCTATCTATCTATCTATCTACCTACCTACCTACCTACCTACCTACCTACCTACCTACCTACCTAAATAGGACCCAAGGTAGCTTGCATCACTAAAAGACCAATATTAAAAGCTAAAAACAATGAATATACAAATACTAAAAAGGACTAAAGAAATGGTAAACAAAAGCAATACTAAAAACACATTTTAAGTGATTGATAAGGCACAACAAGCAATTTAAAAATCCTAGTCAGGCAGCCGGTCACTGAGGAAAACCTGTCCTGAAGAGAAAGATCTTTTCCAGCTTGCAGAAGGACAGCAAATATGGGGCCATTCTGGCCTCCTGTGGAAGGGAGTTCCAAAGTCTGGGAACAGCAACAGAGAAGGGCCTCTCCTGTGTCCCCACCAACATACTTGTGAAAGTGGTGGGACTCTTGGTGGCCTGATCTAACTAAGCTAAGGGCTGACACCATGGTGTGAATGGCAACCAATGTCCCCTCTGACTCTAGTACTGGTCATTCTGTGTTTGTGTTCGTGCACACACAACACTGTGCATTTGTATGCATACACATGCAAAATGGTCAAGGACATTAGCTTAACACAACAGCACCTGTGGCTATTAGCAAAGGAAGGACCTGCAGATACAAGCAGTGGTATTATTAAGGGGAACAAAAAAGAGTCACGTGGCCAAACTAAACATGACACAGAGATCAGCAATTAGCGCATCTGTGTATGTACGTACACACACACACACACACACACACACACACACACACTTACTTTTAAAAAACTAATTAGTGGCCCTTTGTTCAATCTATCATGGCCTGTTTTAGCTCATCAGATGCCTATTGAAAAGCAGCCATAACTCCATTTTATGCACTGAGGATTATTAAATTTGGAGAAGACCTTCAGACTTCTTAAGGACTCTATGGTTATACCTAGCCATTTCCTGATTTATTTTTGGCCTGCTTGTATCTCTTGTTCTAAGTTTTGGTGTTCCTTGAACAAAGTTAATAAATAATGGAAACCTCTTTGCCACCAGACTATTTTTTTTAAATCAGATGGAACAAACTGTAGTAGAGAAAGTGTGACCTCTTGTGGTTCACTGGGGCTGTGTAGAGTATTAAGCGTCTGTTATTTTCATTGTATTTCAGTTCCATTTAATGCAAACATAAGTCCTTTTCAAGCTGGGAAAAATATCCAGCTGAAGAATACAATGAAACGGTATGGGGTCTAAAAATCCATACTCCTTGTCACACAGATACTGAGATGGCAACTTCCAGTTTTAAAGCAAGACACCTTTTGTTAATTTAAACAAAGATGCCTCAGTTACCAAGCACCATTTCTCCTTTGTTGTTGTATCACATTGTTGACTCATGTTTAGCTTGTCATCCAGTAAGTCCTCTGGATCCTTTTCACACATACTGCTGCTAAGTGAGGTATCAATGATCCTATATTTGTGCATCTGATTTTTCTTGGCAGAGTATGGAACTTTACATTTTCCCCTAATGAAATTCACTGTATTTACAGTGGGGCCTCGCTAGACAATGATAATCCGTTCCACTGAAATCGCTGTTTTGTGAAATCATTGTCTAGCGAAAAGCATTTCCGCATTGAAATGCACTGAAACCTGTTTAATGTGTTCCAATGGGGAAGAATCGTTGTTGTCTAGCGAAGATCAGCCATAGGAAAGCCACTTTGCGATCCGCCGATCAGCTGTTTAAATCGCTGTCTTGCGAAGCTTAGGTCCCGAAAACACCCATTTTGCAAGCACGGAGGGAGCTGTCAAAATCGTCGTCTAGTGAAAATCGGTTTGCGAAGCAGGGACCAAACATTGCCGAGCGAAATTCCCCCATAGGAATCACTGTTTTGCGAATCACTATAGCGATCGCAAAAAGTTAATGTCTAGCTAAAAAAATGTCATGTGAAACACCACTGTATTTTGTTATCCCATCTGTTTAGGTGTTTCTTCCTTCTGCCCAGGACAGAACCCTGCAGCACCTTTCTTGTTACTTCCCTCAAGAGTGAAGATTAACCTTGGTGAGCACTCTTTGTCTACAGCCAGTCACTAGCTACAAATCCACCTAACAGTAACATTGTTGAGTCCATTTTTTTTCAGCTTGACCTCAAGAATTAAATGAGGGTCTTGTAAAAATAGCCTTGTTGAAATCAAGATCCACAGCTTTCTACAAATCTACCCAGTTTCTAGCTCTGTCAAAAAATGAGGTAAGGTTTGTTCGCATAACTCATTTTTGAGGAACTCATGCTTTCTTCTTTTAATCAGTAGCCAAAATCCTGTCATGTAGCTATTCATATTGTGTGACTTTTGGATGTAAAGTGTCTTAAGTTATGAAATCAATATAGACCAAACCAAGTATGCAACAGTTAATGTCTATGGTGATTTCTTAACTCAAGACAATTTGCCTGAAAAAAATATACTTTTATATAAGCATAATTAGGCAGCAGGATTTGGGCCACTATGTTCTTTGCCACATGCTCATAGACCAAACATGTAATGCTCTGATCTAGAACCTGTGCAGGTAAGCAGGGTTAGACTGATAAGTCTGTAGCTGCCAAGCTCCTTTTTTCTCACTTTCTGAAGTCAAGGACAACACTTTCCCAGTCTTCGGGGATCTCACTTGTCCTACAAGAATCCTCAAAATATACAGGGATTCTGAGAAGGCATCTGTAAGTATCCTTGGTCCTCTTGGACACAGTTCACCAGGCCCTATGGACATGAATTAACTTGAGGTAACTCAGTGTTCCCATGCCTTCTGTTTATCTACCTTGGGATATAATTCTCTCACAGCATCATTGGTTTAATTCCAGATTGAGCACTGTTTTACTCTTGGTGTTGAGCAATCCCGCCTGCTCTCTGTCACCCATTAGCATTTCTCTGTCCTATCCATGTATTGAACCTAGTTTCCTAGTAACAGATATTCACAGGCATGGCAGTAGCTGCCGTCTAGGGATGCCCAAAATCTTAAAACACCACTTCTGATGAGAAACTATAACATGCATTCAATTGTTTAGTTTCCTGATCCTTTCAAAATAGGACAATAAACTTATTTCCTCCTCATTTCCAAAAGACCTTTTTTTAAGAGATGGAAGTATACAAACCAAGAAAAATATGGTTTACCATATATGTCCAGAAGCTTCTAGAAGTGTCAAGCAATTGACAAAGTCACCACATGGGAAAATAATATTCACATCCTCCAGTTGGTCATCATCTGTGATTTTACTGGAAGAGAGGAAAGTGTTGAGTGATGTTCACATTGTGTGTTTAAGAACTACATAATAACAACACTACAAATGGTTGTGAGTAACTTTACTTTCATTAATAGATATCTAATGGCTTGCTAAATACAACTAAATTTGAGACTTCGACTATCTATACTGTCATATCTACAAGAGTCCACTAAATTTCTCTCTAGGTGAGGCTTACAAACCAGGATGAAAGTGTGCCTCACACCAAAATTTCGTGAGTTGTCTTCAGTTCTCTCTAACGATCAATAGTTAATTACTTAAAATACATCCTACTCTTTCCAGATTCAAATTAGTCCACTAAAGGACTATTGAACTCTGAAGCTTTTGAGCTCTGGATCTGGAATAGTATGCAGCAGTTGTGGTGGGGAGACCACCAACCCCAAAGCCTAATCCCACCTGCAGAGGATCTGCCCCAGGCCTTCTCACCAAAAGCCACAGTTCCTGTCAGCTAATGGATCCGTACTATCTTTAGACACCCTTTTCTGCTCTTTCAGGTGGCATTTCCCTTTAGGACTGAGGCATCACCTGAAAATGTTGTCTTCATTCCTCTTCCACCCTCCTCATATGGAGAAGGAAGAAGAAAAACAGTTCATTGCTTATGTTTGCAAACAAGCACAAGGTTACTTTTCTGGCTGCAAGGGGTATAGCTGCATGTATATGTCCATGCAGCTAAGATTGTTAATGTACAGCAGAGATGGTGCTAAACAGCAAATGACCTAGCACCTGCATGCGCATTGTCACTGCACTTTGATTCTATGACAGATAAAGAGGTGCAAACTCAAAGACATTAAGAACAGTCAACCATTAACAGTTTTGGCCAATGTGGATACAATCTAAGTTCAAATTGTACTATTAGATTGAAGCGATAGCTTGGTGTTTAGAACATGTCTGTCGAGCAATTTGTGACAAACAGGGTTATTTCCTAACAAAATCAAACTTTTGTAGAAGCAAAGACTGAAGCAACTAATTACCCTGCTCCTCTGCAAAGTACAGGAGTCAATGGAAGAAAATTGCATCTATGTTTTAGTGAATTCAATAGGGTCACACACTGAGTAGACAATGATAAAATGATCTTCCTGGCTTACACAATAAACCAAGCACAAACTTCAAAGCTTTCTTATTAACTATTGGACTGATTGTATCACTTAGGTTTTGGAACAATGGCAAACTTGATTTAAATAGAAGCACTTTCCTTTAGTTTTCAGGGATTGTATGATAAATATTAAAACAATAAATCTCATTCCAGGCATTGTTACCTGAGAATTATGGACAATTGAACTACTGACAGTGATGATATTTTGGAGTTTTTTTCTGGTTTGGAAGTTCTCAGTAGTGGCATTGGCTTCATTGGCTTGTCCTCTGGTACTTGTGTATTTGAACTCTTTTTCTGGCTTTCAGGAAGGGTCGATGATTCATTCTTTTTGCATGCAGACTGAATGTCCTCTTCTGTGACTCCTAAAAGCCTAATAAGTAAATTAGATTTCGCTTAAAAAGAAATACAGCAAAACTGCCTCACTGAGACGTTAGTTTTTAGCAGGTAATTAAAAATTGTTGGGAAACTGAGGAAGATGTTAACATTTGCAATGCATGCATGTGGACACATGGGCACACACAGAAAATATTGTAACCAAGGTACAATGAAGGTATTGTTTGCACTGTCATGTTTTCATGTCTCAGTGTATGGAACTCTGTGATCAATTTGCAGCCATACTTAATTGAATAATATCATTTTTTCCTGTCTCTCTGTGACACCTAACCTGAAGAAGAAAGCAGTTGGGAGGTCTTAAAAACTCCTCATTTTTTTGTGACTGTTCACTTCCTCCATAACATTTGTTTGTTTGTTTGCTTGTATGTTTAGTTCATGCATTCATATACTGCTGACTTAATGCAAAACACTGCTCTAAATCAGAGGTCATCAAGCCCCGGTCTGCAGCCCAGTGCTTGTCCGTTGCCTGAGCTGGACCGGGCAACACAAGCCCCGGTCTGCAGCCCAGTGCTTGTCTGTTGCCTGAGCTGGACCGGGAGACAGACCTCCCACCACACCCCAGCACTTACTCCCCTCCCCATAGCTGCTTTGCGTATGCACACGCATGCTAGCACTGGTGTGAGTGCTCCCCCATCCCTTCATGCATGTGCCTGAGTGCCCATGCGAAGGGGTAGGTGCATGCACGCGAGGGTGTGGAGGAGTGCTCATGCCAGCACTGGAATGTGCATGCGCTCCCCCACCGCTTCACACATGCGCTCAAGAGCACATGTGCGCCAGCGCAGAGGGTTGCCCCACCTTCCTCAAAGGCTCAGCCAGTCCGCAGTCCCAAAAGGGTTGGGGACCACTGCTCTAAATGATTTACAGCAACACAATGTAACAATAGCCCAGCTACCCATCAACCCAACATTAAATATCTCAAAAATAAACAATAGATGCAAACCCAAACTGATGGCTACACAGGAAACAGATATATAATAGTTTAAGAGAGGATGCCTTTGAATGCCTCTTGAAACAGGACAGTCTTTAGCATTTTTTAAAGGATGTAGGGAAGCTGAAATACTTCTATCAGGAGCCCTTTCCATAAGGATAGAGGCACTACTGGGAAGACACATTTTCTGATGACAGTCTTCCTTATATACAGCAGTGTGGCAACCCAGAAATGAAAGGCCGGAGAAGAACAGGAGGTACAAGGTAATATTCTGAGGGAGAAACACTCTGATATATAAAAGGCCTCAAAACATTAAGGACTTTGTATACGAAACCTAAAACCTTGAACCTACACCAGAAAACAACTATAACTGATATAACTATATAAAAAAAACACTATAATAATTAATGGCATTTTACATTCTGTGGTGACAAACAAACGTACAGTTTTACTTGAATCTGAATTCAATAGAATCAAGTTGTAAATAAATTCTAATACAACACTTTCACACCAGATGAAGTAGAAGTAACTTCTACTTTTTGTAGGATGTTGACTGAGATCACAGCAGAGACCTTGAGAGAATGAAATGTCCTCCCTCCAAAGAAAATCAAAGTGAGCCTATGATTGTCTAAGGAAATCTTTGGCAAGGAAATGCGCAAGCTCTTGTTCCAGATTAATGTAAGGGTGAAATGCACCATGACTGTATACTTACAGTTCTTTCATGGACATATATTCATTATTGCTTTTGAGCTTTAGTTCATCTGAGCTAGAAGATTGTTCCATGATGCTAACTTCAGCCAAAAAATCATCTGACTTTGAAAGAGAAACAATATGCAAGTTATGCATTTATACAGAGAACTATATAAAATACAAGTTCTGTTAGAGCTGATGCTCTAAAAGGAAACTAATTAGAAACTCTTTAAATAATACATCTGCATAAAACTGGTATTTCATTGAAGCAAAGTAAAGGACACTCTTTCTTCATATTTGTCAATACAAATATTTGTCAATACATATCAGTTCAGTTTCTGTACAAATCCTGAATATTGAGAAATCCTGAAATGTTGATTTGCAGACAAAAGAGATGGGAAGATGGAAACAGGGCCTGAAGTGAAGCTAAAAGGCCAGTGTATTTCCTCCTCTTACAGTGTTATCCCTCTAGGCATGCACATCTTCCAGTGCTATGCATCTATGACATCCAACAAGTAGACAAATACATGCTGTATTTCCTCCTCTTACAATGTTATCCCTCTAGGCTTGCACATCTTCCAGTGCTATGCATCTATCACATCCAACATGTAGACAAATACATGCTTCCCAAATGATAATTTACATACAAAAAAGCAAGTTAATTTTCCAAATATATATTGAGGCAAGATCATGCCAGAATAAGCAACAGTACAATAATTATGGTGGGGTAGTCAGGGCTTTGACGCAGAGCACTAAAAGATAGAAGATGAAAGAAATTATTGCGGGAAGGATGCAAACCCACACATTGGCATTTGCTGTTGGAAGGACATGGACATGCCTGCACAAACTCATATACTACCAACAGCGACTCTTCCTCAGATAGAAATAGGAAGGCTTAGTGAAGGATTGATATGACCATTGCACACTCAGTCCAGGGGTTTATTCCCATTCTGATGTTCTCCCCATCTGTATTATCTCATATGATTCAAGCTTAACCTACAGGGCAGGGAAGCTCCAGGTACCAAGAGTGCTTTTCTGTAGCACTGCTTCTAGATAATGGAATCAAATGAGGCCCTTAGACAAGTACGGTTTCGTTTCGTTTCGTCTAGCTGCTTCTAGATAATGGAATCAAATGAGGCCCTTAGACAAGTACGGTACTCAACTCCAAACAACTGCAGTAAACAATGAGCTAACTTAAAGTTATGCTTAAATATTATACCAGATAAATGTACTAGAAATTCTATTAAACTGAACACATACAAATAAAAATACAGAATTTATATATAAATATGTTAACATCATGTGATACTTCAACGTAATGGTAAGAATTTACAGACAAAACGACATAGCACTACACACTGAAAAGGGAGGGAGGTGTTGGGCAAAATCCTCTTGTGTAACTTTGCACCAGTGTGTTGGGCAAAATCCTCTTGTGTAACTTTGCATCAATGTAGTACCTCCATAACATTGCCCCACCTTCCTCATGGTAATGTGCTCTGTATGGAGATCTTGGAACAGTGTCTAGTGTGGCTGAGAAGGCCAATTTGAGAGTGACAATCCCTTCCACACTGAAGACAAATGCAATCTGTCCCCTATCCAGCTCCCTGGTTTTGCTGGTTTCAGGACTGCCTCTTTGCCTCAGCCTGCTGGACAAGTGTCTCTTCAAATTGGGAGAGGCCATGATGCACCGCCTGCTTCCAGGCTGAATGCTCAGACATCAAGGTTTCCCATCTGTTGAGGTCCATTCCTAAGGCCTTCAGATCCCGCTTGCAGCTGTGGTCTCCCTCTGGGGCGATTTCCCTGCACTAATTCTCCATACAGGAGATCTTCTGGAATCCGACCAAATTGGAATCCAGTGTAAACCAGATCAATTTACCCTTTAATTTAAAGTAATTAAAGCTTGATATCCCCCTCCTTTTCAGTTCTAAGGCTCCCTAGGGACTGCTGGCGACTATCAGGTGATTAGAGATGGACACAAATCAGGAAAATTGTGATTCATTTTGATTTGTAATTCATCAAGGTTGATGAATCATGAATTATGAATTCACTGTATTTTTTCTGATGAAACAATTTGTCAATTTGTCCTTTTAAAGTCCTAAGAAATGCCCACAAGCACCTAGAGACACCAAATTTGCAGGGAAGCTTCTCGTGACTCTCTTTTATAAGCTTTGCAAGTTTGGTGAAGTTTGGGTTTTGGATGTCTAAGCTGTATACCCACAAGGAGCACCCTGCAGAAAAGTTATCTCCATGTGCTCCTGTCCCTGCTGTGACTCTCTCTGACATTTTTAACAAAGTCTGCCAACTTTTTAGGTTTTGGAGAAAGATGCAACTAGTGGTTAATGGGTGACTGCAGAATATGGGTATTTTTACCCAAATGGGGTAAAAATGAATATCCTGGGGGTAATGAGGACGTGACCCTCACCCCTTCCCTCCTCCTCCTCTGCCCAGAGGGGGGGGGTTCCTAGCTTCCCAATTGCCCCCTTCCCACTCCCTCCTCTGCCCTGGCTGCAACTGAGCCATGGTGGATGGCGGCCGGCAATGAGCCCTGTCCGGTGGCGTGTGGCAGCCGAGGAGGCGGTGGGGCCAGCCATGGTGGAAGGTGAGGCCAGGGCAAGTGGCCAGAGCACCCCAGCCAGAAGGAGCCTCTCCTTCCAGTTCCTGGAGAGGCGGATCGCAGTGGGGGCCGGGGCAGCCATGACGGTAGCCTGGGCCAGGCTCAGCCTCCTGGCACCAGGATGACGACACCCCCCATGCCCCGTCCCCATTCCCAGAGGGGCCCGTTGGGCAGCAGCTGTGTTCACCCGGCCAAGCAGCTTCCCTAAAAAATAGGATTTTATCCAATGAATCAGCATAAGGCAGAATAGAGAAAACTATCAGCTAGATTACCTGGGCTAGAACCCTCCTTGGATAAACATAGATATTCTCTGTTTTGCAATTTTCTTCCAAAGGTTCTTCAAGAGGAGCGCTTGTTAGATGCCGCTAAAATAAAATGGCATCATTACTCTTTGTTTAGTATATTTTGAGAAAGGTTGAAATGGATAATGTACCAAGACTTTTTTCATTATAAACATAATTGGCATCACAAAATGAGGTACCTGTTTCCACAACTCAAAATCAGGAACAAAAGCTTTATGATGGGTATTATCATTGTAATGAATAATGCCCCAGTTTCAAGCCCTAGCTTATAGTATAAATGTACCTTAAACCCACAGAGCGAAACATTGTAGAGACATGTAGTAAGTCAATATGTGAAGAAATCTCAAAATACAGTGGTCACTTAACGAGCGCAACGTTTAACAACGAATCCACATAGTGACGCGTTTTTTGCAATCGCTAATGCGATCGCATTGTGATGTTTTAATAGGCAAAACATCACATTGCGATGATCGGTAAGCATTTTGCTTACCGATCTTCTCATTGCATGTTTTGGGAACAGCTGATTGGCGGTTCCAAAATGGCCGCCAGGTGCAGAAAATGGCCGCCCACAGCATTTTCGCGCCCTGCCCTCGCTTACCGGGCGGCGAAAATGGTGGCTGGATGGAGGATTCCCTACATAGCGGTGAGTTTTTCCCCAATAGGAACGCATTAAACAGAGTTCCTATGGGTCCCACCCCGCATAGCGACGAATCTGGATAGCGACGTTATTCCTGGAACAGATTAACGTCGCTATGTGGGGCACCACTGTAATATCATAATTTGTACTTTTGTACACATTCATGCCAGACAGATATTATGACAATTATGTTGATGGCACTTTCTGCACTCACTAGACGTAATAAAAGTTTTCTTGGTGAATCATAAATATGCTTTTCTTCACAGGAGACTTGAGGAGTAGGATATGAAGCTGGCCTTTTCTTGGAAGCAGCTGTTTCTAATTCCTGCAGCCCAACAAAGAGAATAAAAATCATTAAAATTAAACAGAATAAAATTAAGTAATTGTATCTCATTACCCCAAAGTGATTCATTAGAACTGCTCACTAGATGGTGTTACAAACACAGGTAGTTGGGTTCCAGTTTCACTTTGAAAGTGTTACAAACACAGAAAGAAGAAGACTGGTATTTTTTGAAAGTTTATGCCAAAATACTAAAGGATAATGTGTCAAAAACACACTTAGGCCATGTATAAATGCATATAATTTTAGCAGAGAACCCATTGTCGGAGTACACCCACCATCTTTTTTAGAATACATACTGATATTTCCACTGGGTTAAAGTGAGGGAAAACCTGAACAGGGGTATAAAAAGTTGTAACCATTCCTGAGTTTAGAATTACTCAGGTTCAAAGCCAATCTGTATTTTCTCCTGTATCAGGCTGTGTGTCATGAGTTCAGCCGAAGAAGATCTGGAATTAGAGGGGTTAATTACAGCTGAGGAAAATGCTGGACAATTAGTATCACAGACAGCTGAATCACCGCCAGATTCTCTTCCCCCACTAGTCAAAGGGAGAGATAAGCTTCGGTAGAAACTTATAGCACAGAGGTCTGAGGCTCGCATGAATGCTTCTCACAGGAACATCAGGTCAACCAGTTTTAACAGGATGGAATGTTTCTAGGAATTAGATGATTGTTGCTGCTATATAATTTGTACCCGGAGGCTTGGAAGCTCATGGAAGCAACAAGTCAATTCTTTGGCTTGTGTCCACGCTTCTGTTTATCTTGAACCTTGCTTATAGCACAGAGGTCTGAGGCTCGCATGAATGCTTCTCACAGGAACATCAGGTCAACCAGTTTTAACAGGATGGAATGTTTCTAGGAATTAGATGATTGTTGCTGCTATATAATTTGTACCCGGAGGCTTGGAAGCTCATGGAAGCAACAAGTCAATTCTTTGGCTTGTGTCCACGCTTCTGTTTATCTTGAACCTTGCTCTCTTGACCTTTGGCTTTTGGACTCTGACTTCTGACTATGGTTTGTGTTTTGGCTTTGACAATTTGGCATCTGTTTTGTATCTTCTGGACTTCTGACCTTGGACTTTTTCCTGCTGAATCACCTAGGAATGTGACACTGTGGGATAGAATCCTTTTTAGCTGTACTCTTTATACAGCTAAATACAGTGGTGCCTTGCTTAACAAGTGCCTCGCTCAATGATGAATTTGCATAATGATGGCCTTTGCTGGAAATTTTGCCACCTCACCTAACAATGTTTCCTATGGGGGACTTCACTGGGAGCTGTTTTATAGTAAAACAGCTCCTTGAGCTGCTGGAAAGCTTTCTATCCTGTTAATACTCAGGACTAGATGCACGTAGGTTTCTGTGGACAGCCTTTGAGCGATCCTCTGATCTTCTGGTCCTAAGTCTTTCCCGAAGCCTGCCCCGAAGCCTGTCTGCTGTGGAAGGAGAATCTGGAGGCGGTTCAGGTGTTTCTGATCTCTCCACATTCTCTTCAGCCACAGTTAACCCTTCGGGTTCCAGGTCTTCGGAAGCACTCATGACACTCTCTTGACCTTTGGTTTTGGACTCTGACTTGTGACTATGGTTTGTGTTTTGACTTTGACAATTTGGCATCTGTTTTGTATCTTCTGGACTTCTGACCTTGGACTGGCTTATTGGACTTTTGCCTGCTGAATCACCTAGGAATGTGACACTGTAGGACAGAATCCTTTTTAGCTGTACTCTTTATACAGCTAAATATTACATGGAGAAGGAGGGCAGGACTGCGAGGCACCACTGTATTACATGGAGAAGGAGGGCAGGATTGCATGTACTTGACTGTGTGCTTCCCAAGGCAATAAGAAGTACCACTATTACCACTCCATCACCAGCACAGAGTCCTTCATTCTTGCTGCCCCCATCTTTGTCATGGAGAGAGAGATGGTGGGCATGCAGCAATATCTTCACCAATTGTATGGTGATGATCCCCAGAAACCTGACCAGAACTAAATTTTCAGACCCAGACATTTGACGCCTGGTCAATTCTAGAGACACATATATCAGCTGTTTCAGCCAATTACAGTAGGTTATCCAGAAGAGTAGTAATGTGATGGTTGCCACATTACATGTGGTTTGAAGCAAGCACTTAAACACTTTACTGAAGGGCAACCTGGAAGGCCATGACTTGGTAGCTGGAACACTGACTGAGAACATTTCCAGAGCTTTGAACTGTTCATTTGTGTTTGTGTCTGGTGTGTGTGTTTAGTTTATTTATACATTGATGAATGCTATCAACATGTTGATTGTTCCAGAATGAAAGCCACTCCATCTCTTGATAACATGATTTCTCAGAATGCGATTCTTTCTTTTTTGCATATAATGTTAGATTCATATTATAAAAGCAGTCCAGAATCTTAGGAGTTTACCTTCCTAATGTCCATGGCTAGGGTTTCAGGGAGTTCAGTTGCACAAATATTTTTTCCAAGCTCACAGGATGTCCCATTACATTGCTGCCAATTTCACTTGGCTCAACAACTAAGGTACATGGAGGCGAGGCAAGGAAATATATTATACTCACTTCATATTCATTGCTGGGACATAAGCCATCCTCAGTGGTAGCAGCAGCTGGTAAAGAATATGACCGGCTTCTGAGTTCAGGTTTCTGATTCAGTAAATGAAGCAACAAAATCATATTTAAGAGGTGCTATATGGTTAAAAAATAAAGATGTTTACTGACTTCCTGGCCTAGTGCATGTCTCTGTTGGATAACATAAGTTGGACCCAGCCTTGCCCCATACCGTTCTGGAAATAGTCCAACATGATCCTTGTCTAGGTCCAAATGCAGTGTTTGTACATGTCTGGATCACAATGGGGGGAAAAGCATTCCTATGGATGGGGAAATAGAAACATCCATCACAGGGGGGCGGGGTAGAGGGTTATACAATGCCATCAGAATTATTTCTGGCAGAATTATCTGTCCACTTCCAGCCCAGAAAACACAAGACAAAGAGAAAGAGGAGATTGGTGAAATTGGCTGTGATACTACTGCACCAATAAGAAAAAAGAAACCAAAGTAAGGGATGGGTGGGAGGAGGCAAAAGACAGACCCTAATGTCATAAGGCAACGATCAAGAACAATACAGGCATTCATTTGTGTGCATGTGCACCCACCCAAGCACACACATGGAGTCCTAACTGTGTAATGAACTCATTTGTTTTTTTTAAAAGGCAAGCTACACTGGCAGAAGTTTCTTATTTGCTTTCCTGATGTGGAGAGCGGCTGTTACAGACCCTCCCCAGTATCTCAGTGACTGGATGCGCAGGATTGCTCTTGGGCTTCACTCACTCATTGGGGAGTGAAGCTGACAATCTCTTCTTCCTTTGTTATTAGCTCTACATTTTTCCTTGCTGCTATTGATTTCCCTTACTCCCTTTTCAATTACATTGTGGATTTTTAATTTTAACAGTTTTAACCCAGTGAAGGCCAGATTTACTGCAAGGAATGTGTATAGGGTGCCACTCCACCTCATAGTGACCTTGGGTTCTTGGCTCCTTTTGGTGGTTACCACAGAGATGCACAAGTAGCCCTGTTTCAGTGTTTCAGCGTTTTGTTAAATATGGTACTAGTCAAAAATTTAGTTAAAGACCTTGGTTGACAAAGCTCTGTGCTTTTTCTGAGTGTATAGAGAGAACAATACCACAAAAATGCAAGAAGAGCATTACTAGTTTGGAGAAAAGTTCCAGTCCAGGATTCTTTGCACACCTGCCAATTAGAGGCTTTTAGGGAGTTTCCAAGAGCAGTAGCCACTGCCTTCGCAGTGATACCTTCTTCTTTTGCTATCTTTGCAGATGGCTCATTGCTCTCTGCTTTGGTTTATGGCCCTCTACTGAGTTTTGTCAATGGCAAGTATCAAATACCATTCTTACCACTGTTGAAACATTTCGATTATCAAAATGTGAAATAGGCCACTCTTAGGGTGGAAACTTGCCAAGGAAGACAGGAGTGCATTCCTTAAATCTTCCTGAAGGTCATGGCAACTGAATACCAGTGATCCAGCCCTCTGCCCCAATAGAATACACATAATTTTGAGGACAATCTTTTAACAGTGCTAATTGTTGGTGTTCAACATTCAAAAAAGTCCTTGAAGGGGTACGACATTTGTTTACCTCTATTCCTCTGCAGGCTGCAAACAGAAAGGTGGCCCAATCCTCGATGTGCTTGCTAGAGTTTTAAAAGAATGATTTGAGAAGAAAGGCACAGAAACGGACAAAGGTGTGAGGTTGTATTTCTCTGCGAAGTTCATCAATTTAAAAGCAACAACACATGCAACACTTTTTTCAAGATAGTGTATGCTTTTCAAAGAGATTTCTCTCTTTTATATTTGAAGGGCAGAAAGCAATAATGCTAAGCTCTCTGTCCACCAAATATAAAAAGGAGGGGGAACCTTCAACCTGCCACGTCAATGAACTGTGAACTACAATGACTATCTCTAATTGAGCCTCAAAAGTAGCCAGGCTGGTTAGGGCTGATGGAAATTGTAGCTCAACAACATCTGCAGAAAAAGAATTTACTTACCTGTAACTCTGGTTCTTCAAGTGGTCATCTATGAATTCACACTAATGGGTTAATCTGCGCCTGAGCAGAGCAGTCTCAGAAGCTTCTATAGCTTTAAGCACTTGGTGCCGAGACCTCCCCTACACCGACTATATAACTAAGCATCCAGCACCTCAGTTCTAAGGAACCGACCTCCACTACCCAGTATGCCATGGCACACGTGACAGACAGTGGGGAGGAGGGTGGGATGTGTGAATTTACAGAGGACCACTCAAAGAACCAGAGTTACAGGTAAGTAACTCCTCTGTCTCCTTTGTGGCTCTGTGAATACACACTAATGGATGACTGGCAAGCTGACTAACCAGGATGAAGGATGTCACAAAAATGCAGAAGCCAGGACAGCTCGACCTACCACAGCCTGAGCCTTTGGCCAGATATCCAGGTGGTAGTGCGAGAGGAAGGTAGATGGAGTGGCGCATGTGGCAGTCATCTGCAATGTCCACTCCATGGAGAAAGGCTGTTGAGGATGCTATAGCTCTAGTAGAGTGAACTCTCACTGATTTTGGAAGAGGAGTCTCTGCCAAGTTATAGGCAAGACAGATGGTCTGGACTATTCATCTAGAGATGTTCTGAGAGAAAGCTGGTGCTCCGAAGAAGGAGCCAGCAAAGGTGGCAAAGAGATGTTGTGAGGCACGAAAAGTGGTCGTGCGGTGCACATATGACAGAGCACACTTCACATCCAGAGCGTGCAGGGCTGTCTCAGGAAGGACAGTTAGCTGGTTCAAATGGAAAGCAGAAGATACCTTAGGCAAGAAAGTAAGTTCTGGCAATAAGGTTACTTTGCAGAAAGGAGGTTCTGCTCTTAGTGTACCCAATCCTCCAGCCCTGTGAGACTTTGCAGAAAGGAGGTTCTGCTCTTAGTATACCCAATCCTCCAGCCCTGTGAACTGAAGTTATTGCCAGAAGAAAGGCAGTCTTGAAGGTTAGCAAGGGAGTTGTGGCCGATGTCAACTTGGGAGCAGAACATGGCCCATTTCTTGTTCATCCGAGATGCAAAACGTCTATGTCTGGAGTCCCCCCAACATTGACAGAGGCAGCGAAAATTGGCGTTGTCAAGAGCCCACTCGTGAGGGCAGGACTGTAGTCTGCTGAGATAGTCTACTACAGAATTGTTTTCGCCTGTCAAATGTACAGCCACTGGATAAATGTGGCAAGCATAACACCATTCCGAAAGGTCGATGGTGTGAAACAGAAGGCATAATGAGTGAGTGCCAGCCTGCTTGTTGTTTTGTCTGACGCGACCGAGACCACTCGACCACAGAGTAGGGGCTCGAAGGCCTGAAAGTGCTGGTGATTGCCAGGAGCTCCAGTACATCGATATGCAGGCTGGCTTTTATTGTGGACCAGTGGCCCTGGACAACATGGTGGTGTAGACAAGCCCCTCCAGCCTGATGGGCTGGCATCCACAGTAAACTGAACCATCATGGTCAAGAGACCAAAGGGTCTCCCTATCCGTAGGTTGAGGGGGATTTCCACCAGTCCAGTTGTGCAGCCAGCTCCAAAGTCACCTGGAGCAACATGGATGGGTGGTCGCAAGATGTCCAGAAGAGTGAGAGAAACCAGGCTTGAAGGGACCGCATCCTCAATCAAGCATGCTGTACCAGAGCTGTGGTAAATGCCATCAGCTCCAGAAGTCGCTGGACCTGTAGGGCAGGGACCAAGCACTTGAAGAAAAGGAGTATATGCATTCTCACATTGTTTTTCACTTGCGAAGTTCATAATGAAGCTGCTACAGTGATGGTCGAAAAAAGAACTGAGGGTGGGGTCGGAGTTATATAGCTGGTGTAGGGGAGGTCCCGGCACCAAGTGCTTAAAGCTATAGAAGCTTCCGAGACTGCTCTGCTCAGGCACATATTAACCCATTAGTGTGCATTCACAGAGACCATGAAGGAGAACCATAGGTTCTCAAATGTATGATGTAAAAAAATCCAAACATAAATTCTTTACAATGGAAGCAGTTAAGCATGTATTCTCCAAATAATCAAAAATCATCCCCCCAAGAATCCCACTTTTCCTTCTAAATGAAGTAACTGAGCCAAACCTTAACCACATTGATTTTTAAAATATCTTTAAATCTATTTTCCTATTTTGGTTGGTGTAGTTCTACCTTTATTATTCTAACAGCAAAAAAAGTGAAGTGTTCTGCTCATATACTGCCCCACAGCGCTTAAAGCACTCTCTGTGTCGTTTTACAACTTAATTATGCAGACTATGCATTGCTCTCCCCCTCTAGCAAGCTGGGTACACAATTTACTGACCTCGGAAAGATGGAAAGTTGAGTCAGCTTTGAGCCAGCTACCTGAGCCTGGGGTAGAATTCAGGTTGTGAGCAGGGTCTTCACTGCAGTACTGCAGTTTAACCACTGTGCCACAAGGCTCATTCTAAAAATTGATTTATTGCTTTGGGGGCTCTGATGAACAGAAAAGGAATATTTCTTAAATAATACTTATTTATTTTAGCTGAATCCACAGATGTCTCAGCAAGGTCAGCAGAGAGTCCAGCGTTTGGTGGGGGGGGCAGTAGTGAGACCCAATATTTCTCAGAAATAATAGTTCTGACTACTTGTTGCTTTCTAGCATCGATAGCAGAGGTCTGTCTGCTCAGGGAGCTTTCCTTTTCCAACTGTGGGACAGATTTGATATTCAAGGAAAGAGTATGTCTTAAACGATGGACCAAATTGGACATTTGTGCGTGTGTGTGTGTTTAAAAGCATTGGTTTACAGGCCTATGTTTAGAAGAGTTCCTATTTCAAAGAGATTTAAATTCTGCTTGAGTGACTATTAAGGAAGTCAACAAAGAGTATCTGTTCTCCTTGAAGTCAAACTGGTTTCATGGCAAGTCAAACGCTTTGTTGTCACATAAGAGTACTTCATTTCCTGGAAAAGGTGAGGCGAGACTTCCAGGAAGATGTATAACAGGGTTTATATCATCTTTCTTCAAGGTGATTTGCTTTGTCTCTCACAGGATCATAAATAGCGAAGGGTGGGGACTGAAGTTACTGTTAGATATACCCAGAGTTTCTGTCACATTCTAAAGGACTTAACGTCTTTTATTTCACTGTTGCTGAATCTTTACAAAAAACAGCCACTCTTGCTCCTAAGAGTGGCGTTTGAAAGGACAGCCATTTTAGTCTGTTGTGAATGACCAGTGTTAACATTAACAACTGTCACTATCTTCTGCCCCCTTCAATGCCCCCAAAAACATTTTGGAGGGCTGGGGAAGCCCAAAGGTGCTAGGGTCCAACACAACTCAAAGAGGGCATAAGAGGACTTGTGGAGTACATTTGGAGTGAGTGTAAGGGTCTGTAGGCCTCAGGGATGCTGGGGGCTGCAAAATGGTCCTCACAGGGAGGGCTACTGCATGTGGCCCACAGGATACATGTTGACCTATCATCTGTTTTATTTCCTCTCTCTCTCTCTCTCTCTCCCTCTCCACTCACACATAGACATCCTTGTACTTTCTCTTGGGTTTTGATTAAGCTGGAAAGAAATCATAGTGCTAAAGAGAAGAGTCTTCTTTATTCCATCTTAAATTATTGTGGCAGTTTAAATATGAGCACATACATCTGTCACTTAATTTATCTCCTTTTCAGCATTAAGCCGTTAACTTTAATTACAGAACTCCTAATCTTTTGTACTCTTTGTGTCTCCCATAAGACTGAGTGAATGCTTAAACGATTATTCTTCTGATCTATGAAGGATATGTTATTGCCAAGTTTGAAGACCCTATATTTGAAGATTAACTGTTACCATCACTTCAGCCAATTTGGAAACACTATGAATATTCTTGAAAAGAATCCCAAACCTACCTGTCTGTTCCAATAAGGTAGAAGGTCCTATTCTCTGTTCTGATGGTCATCACTTCTGTGGGCTGGCATTTAAACATCTTCTTCACCGTTGACATTTTCTCAGTATCACTGATGCCAATTTCAACTTCTGAAGCCCTATTAGCATGAAAAATACACAAAATTGCTGTGGACAATCTGTTTACGTATTTAGGACAACACTTCCCTATTGCTTAAACAAAACTGCTACTGATTAGGTTATTGTTTTCCTGAGAAAGTCTATATTATGTTCCAGCTTTTACAAAGCAACAAGGACAAGCTATTTTAGAATAAAGAAACTTCTCTGCCCTATATTCTTACATTGGCCCACCTCTGCAAATATTGGTAGGCAAATAGAATATCATTAAAAACATTTTAAATGTCAAAGTGGTTCTTGACAGGCTATTTATAACAAATGTGTTCATTTTTAAGTTGCTAGAAGGGAATCAGTAGCTATTCCTGTAACACACTTCCCTTTTGGTAACTTGAAATTCCATTCTTGTAGCACCTACTATGAACCACATGTCATTCTCCAGACATTTCCCAGGTCTAGAAGATGTCATCAGGAAAAAGGAAATTATAACTGGGTATAGTAATGAATTATGGACTCCATTATTATGGCACCTAGCTAATAACTCCAAGAAAGAGTAGGTACAGCTATTTAACTTACATCATACGGTTGCCTAACCTTTTTTGTATAGTCTAATCAGTTTACGAAAAAAATTAAAAGTGCCATGTACTGGTTTATTTATTAATAATGATGGTAAGGCACTCCAAAACATGAATTTGCTCAGGCACAGCTTAGAACGCATTGGCTAGAATCCTTTTACTTCTTTATGTCTGCATAAGACAAATGCTATAAATAGCACTGGTGTACTGCCACTAGTTAAACGGTTGAGGCTTGTGTCCCTTATTTTACACCAATTATCTGGCTTAATACACAACATGAAAAGCAACCCCCAACCCATTTAAGTGGCAGCAATTCACTGCTGTGATTTATGCTGTTTGGTTTACACAAGCATATATAAGTAATAGGGTTTTAACTTATTAAAAATTGAATATTAATAAAACAAAAATGTAAATACATGTAAAAAAAGAATAAATACAAAAACAAATTCCAAACTGACAGCATCTCCAGAGCTAAAACACTGATCATGTGCAGAAACCGTTTTTTCTCAAAATAATTATGAAAATAATCTCACACAGCACTGAAGACATCAGCAGGTCTTATTCTATATCTTCCCCTACCTATGTCTTCCCCTCCCTTGCAGACCGCAGATATCTACAGTGAATTATCCTTTAAGGTAACAAATTACTAAACTTATTACACTTTTTGGTAGTGAGTTACAAAACAGTTATATTTCAAAAGCAACCCTATGAGTGATAATGACACGAAGTGTGTGGACATTTGCATCATACACATCTATTCCTGGTGCAGTCACTTCCTTGTACAAATACTTTGACTGATAGGGTGTTTTAATGGCATATGTATGCCGCTTCAGGCATGTTATTATATAGAAATGCTGTGGAGTGTTTTAACATCTAGATCAAGCATTTATTTTTATTTTTAAATCAGATAACTGTACTGTATCTTGTAACAGGAGAGAATTGATGGCTAAACTTTAGAAGCATCTAGATGTCATTTAATAATGAAGACAGACATACAGACAAATATCCCAAATCCAAGTTTAAATACTGTGAGCTCAACACTTCTACAGTATTTCTAAAAGTCATGCTCAACTCATTGACTGAGATAAAGGAAACAATAGCAGATACTATCAGATACATACTCATTAATTTCAATGGAGCCTTTCAGCTGATGACCTTTAAGGTACCTCAAGACACAACCATTTTTACCTGTCTTGGAAAGGATAAAATATCTCTTTTTCCAGGAAGTCTACAAAAAAGAAAGGAAAAGAAAGGCTAGTTTTTCATCTCAGCAAAATATAACAGATTAGAAATAGCAGGTCACTATTATTATAGCATTGTGAAAGTATGGCAGTCTGCATGCTAACTGTACCTGATTGGTAAAAAGATGAATTGGTGGTGATTTTATGAAGAAACTATGCTTGTAGACGTCTTCATAATCACAATTTCCTGGCAAAGAGAAATCAACCACGGTCATTGTGTATTTTGAAAGACCGACCTAGTTCCACAAAAGATATTCAAGGTTAAATGTTTCCAAAACTCTTGGCTACAAAGCATAGTCAAATCAAGAAGGAATGAAATTCAGTGCAACAATACAAAAATCAATTACATCCTATTTTATGGTTAAATATTATTCAACCAATTCTAATGCATCTGGTATTGTCTAAAAACTTCTTGGGTAGATTTTGTATCATTTGTGTTTTAGACATATGTCACCAGATGGTAGTTGCATGGTATGTAGCTAGGTATGCGTGGGAAATCATTCAGGATTTTGCAGAGTGAGCAAATACAATGCCCACAATGTCCAGAATGTAATTTCCATTATGGTGTGCATTTATCAGAAAGCCTGGCATAAAATCTATCCTGGGGAGAGGCATTTGTAAAAATCCATAGCTGTGAGGATAAGGTGCCTGACTGAAAACAACCCGGGTGATTGATAAAATGTCTGGTGTTTTTAAAAGGCTGATTTATAAAGTGGTTAATGGAGTACTATTAGCATTTGTCAGAATTAATCATTGAACTGATTGGGCCTTTTTAGCAAAAAGGCATACTATTGTAGCTGTTTCACAGCTTAAAACAGAAAATAGATTCATGTGTGGTGGAGAGTAAAGATGTCAAGAACTAAATTCCTCAGCTCATTTTGGACACCTTGATGAGAAATTTGGTGGTCACACAAAATTTGTCACTCCAGCCATGAATAAGACAACAAAAGCCTCCCCTTCCTTTAGGTCTCCATATGTACAAATAGCAAACACAAAAAACTATCTCATTGCACCCTAGGAAGGATGCAAACAAACCACCCAAAGCTGGAAATTGGCTAATGTCCATGAAACAAAATAGCAGTTATCCCTGTTTGGTTTGCCTTTTTCCTTTATTTCACCTATCCACTCAAAGAAACCATCCACACTAAACCAAGGAAAGACTTGAGAGTGTTAAAATCTCCAGTAATCCTCACGAGCAAGGAGAAGAACAGTGAAATTTATTATATGTGCTTGTGAGAATGAGACAAGCAAAGATTTCCATCCCTGTGGAGAAGAAAAATTGGCATCCATTGTGATGTTGGCCTTGTGACTTTTCCCTCTTAGATGAATGCCCTCAAGCAGAAGTAAATGGGTCTATTGATGAATGAGACATGGGCATAATCTGAACTAGGCTCAGCCAGGCCTCCTTAGGATACATGTGACAACAACAAAGAGCACGCACAGAGGGCATTTTCTGCAGTGCAACAGCACATCCTCATAAGCCTAGGAATAAAGGCCTTTGCTTTAGTTGTGACTTCCAAGTTAGCTCAGGACCTGCTTGTCCATTGCCAGACATGTAATCTGTGCCCTGACTTGGGCAAACTACAGAACAATGGAAATTAAGTACTGCATTGGATGCTCATTTCCCCAACATCATTATAAAAGGTTTATGGCAGGGGTAGGGAAAATCAGGGGATGAGTGGAGTTAATTGGTTCCCCTGATCACCTCCCAGGGCTCCAGCTCCCACTGATATATAATCTGTAGGATCAATGGAACCACTTATCTCAAGAGGTGGTGAGTGCTGCAACCATGGAGGCATTCAAGAGAAAATTAGACAACCACCTGGCAGATATCCTTTGATTTGTATTCCTGCATTAAGCAGGGGGTTGGACTTGATGGCCTTATAGGCCCCTTCCAACTGCACTATTCTATGATTAACAGCAGAAATGAAAAAGCTATGTAAAGATATCTGGTCTGCCATCTTATAAAATTCATTAAGTTCAGTTTTATACCTATGCTGCTTTTTCTTGGAGAATCCATCTTGATTGTTATGTCAACCTAATGAACAAAGAAAAAAAAGAGGTTTAAAGACAGCTTTGATTCAATGCTGACATAATATTCTATAAGCCACACCTTGCTATTTCACTGAATGACCACAAACCTCCCTTTTTTTATCTTGCTCTGAGAAAATAGAGAGTGTAACCAAGCAACCAATGATAACTCATCTTTATTTTATGTTACCAGTCTTAACTAGATTAGCCAAATGCCAGCATGAATGCAAACTTTGCTCTTGTGCCAAACCAAAACGAAAAAAGGCTGTTTACAATTCTCTAAAGAATGCAATTAAACAACATTAAAAAGCAGTGTTTTCCCTTTATAACACTGTATTCCCAAAATAATATTTCTTACTTTGAATATTGTTCACATTACAAGAAAATATAAATTTCATTCCACAAACTTACACAGCATAATCAAAAGCAATATCCATAAAATGTTAGGATTAGATAAATAATACTGATAACATATTTCTCAAAAGGAAGTAAGACTGTAATTGGTATGCTGGTTATTTCTTTATCCCTGCTCCTCTGAAATGAAAATGAGTATCAAAAACAAGGAAATCAATTCTGAAATTATACTATTCCCCAAGAACATTGGGTTTTTTTAACCAAATGATTCTGATTTGCAAACCAGACAGAAATTAGAATATTTTGTCAAGGATACTGAAGAGAACTAGGTTTGTTTCCTGAGAGGAAGTGAAGATGAAAGATCCTTGGGACAAGAGACACTGGCCTGAATCTAGCTTGCAGTCCTAACCTGAGTTGATTCATTGAATCAAAGGAATTTACACAGGTGTGGACTCACCATTCACAATAGTTCAATGGGATTACATTTCCTGGGACTTCCAGGTGAATTTATGCCATGGTTAATAAGGAAGAGACACAACAGTGTGCAGGGGTCAGAACGGAAGCTAGAAAAGCATATTCGAGGTAGCCATGATTACAAGAGAAAAATCCTTAACTAACGAAAGTACCTAATGGTTAGAGCAATAGTTTTCTATCTCCCAGAGGAACAAAAAATACCGCAATAACCTCTCTGCAATAGATGTATACAGTATAATCTAACTCTTAGAAAATTTATTCTGGCAAATTCCAGTTCAACAATGGATATGGCAAATTGGATCTTAAACTCGTGGAGGCATGTAGCCTGAAAAAGTATCCTATTCAGCAGATATTTTATTATTTGGTACTTATCAGCTTTCAGATTACTTTATTCCAACTGGTGTTAAACCTTGATCCCAATTGCTTACGCATTATTTGCCTTTCAGATTACTTTATTCCAACTGGTGTTTAGTGACCTTGATCCCAATTGCTTACGCATGATTTGTATTGAGAGGTAGTTATCTATATTGCTTTCAAATGCCACATTAGTACAAGATGATTATAAAACATACATACTGATCTGTATTTTCCACAAATGTCTTGGAGACTGGTCGTCATGCAGAAGAAGGTGATTGTGTACAGTATTGGTCTTTATGCTGAGCAATGATCTGAGTGAGCCTATGCAGTCCCCCATCTCTAGTACTCTTTGGCTTTCCATGCAGCAGGTTTGAGTTCAGATTTAGGACAAGAAAGCACTAAAGAATGCTCTGGCAATGACAACAGCACTCAGTCAGTTAGTCAGCTTGTATATGAGCTGTTGCATGCCACTAGGAGAAAAGTGGTGTACTAAATAAATAAACAAATGGACAGAGAGACAGACTGATTTATCTATCTCTTTTATATGTGCCACTAGGAGAAAAGTGGTGTACTAAATAAACAAATGGACAGAGAGACAGACAGACTGATATATCTATCTCTTTTATATGTGCGTCTTTGTGTGTGTGTCTATGTGTATGTATGTATGTATGTATGTACTGTATATGTATATGTATATGTATATGTATATGTATATGTATATATTTATATGATGCATATGCATAAGTATATATGTATATATGTGTGTGTGTATGTATGTAGGTGTATATACATACACATACACATACATATACACACATATACATATATTTAAAATCACAATAAATGTAGATACTATTATTAAAATACGATTAGCGCAAACAGTGTTAATGGACTGCAATCACTAAGTGTTGTAATACTTTTTAAACTTTAAACTGACCCCAGTTGGCTAGACCTTGTGGGTTTACTAAATTATACCCCAATTCCCAGATGGAGGAAATGGGTCTTAGGCATCACCCCAGCTTTCCTGGCCAAGTAGAAATATGTCTGTTTCGAAGAAGAGCTGAATGGAGAGGAGGGGTGTGTCTTTGTGCATGGTCTGAGCCCCTTTGTTTACTGAAATGGATTGTGAAATCCAACCCACAGCTGCCTCAGCTGTAACTTTAAAACAACAACCTTACTGTTTCCTGCCTCATCTAAGACAGATGTGCCTGGCAAAAGTAATCTTGCCAAGAACTTTACATTTAAGAGTAACCTGGCAACCCTCATATTGCCACAAATGTTTGGATTTCTGGTACTTGCTTTGAAGAAGTGGGAGTTACTCACGAAAGCTTGCATATTGTATGATTTTTTTAAAAAAAAAACTTTATTAGTGGCCTATAAAGGTATTGCCTATTCTTGCATTTTTATTTTGTAATGGCCACACGGCTCCCTGCTTTTATTTCAAAGTTAAAAACATCACTGTTAAAACAAAACAAATTTAAAACACATGGTTAAAATATGCTGCAGCTCTTCCTAAAAGCTCCAGTTCTGCTAGGACATTCATGGATCAATGACCAATTCCAAAAGGAAGGTGTTCATCTGGGAGGGAATTCCATAGACTCGGAGGTGCCACCAAAAATGTTTTCTTTCGAGTCCTTACCAAAGCTGCCTGTGATGGTGGCAAGGATTGAGAGAAGGGCCTCCCCTGAAAATGTCAAAGATTGATGGCAATGATATGAGGAAATACAGTATTTCAAGTAGCCTAGACCCAAACAGTATAACCAGCATCTCTCCACCAGCATGTCTAATTCTGTTATCAGTTTTTGATAATGGAATTTCCAGTTAATTGCATCAGTTTTCCTTATCTCCTTCATCTTGTCTATTCTTGTAAGAAATAGTTTTCGCTTCACTGCCCAGCCTTATCCTTCCAGGTATTGCCACATGCTGAAAACTAGGGGTTTCCCATCCAGCCTGCCAGGTTGTTTCTCAGACCTCACTCCTTGTCTTGGGCCTTAGGTTTTTCCCCTTTCCTCAAAACTGGAAAATGACAAAAAAGATTCCTTTGTAACCAACTGTTGACTAAAGACAAATTCCATTCCCTGCCTTACCCTACTCAGTGTGCTCTTGCTACTGTGTAAGCAATAAATGCTAGCTGTTTATTGGCAGGAGCTTCTAAATCAAAATGTGGTGCAGTGGTTAAACTGCTCTACTGCAGCCAAAATTATGCTCACAACCCGGAGTTCAATCCCAGGTAGCTGGCTCAAGGTTCACTCAGCTTTCTATCCTTCGGAGCTCAGTAAAATGAGTACCCGGCTCATGGGGGGGAGAGGCAATGTGTTGCTTGCAGAATTACATTGTAAACTGCTGAGAGAGTGCTCTAAGCCCTATGGCTTAGTATATAAGCAGCACACTTTGCTTTGAAATGGTTTGCTGCCATGGTGACAGCTGAAAGCTGGTGTCATGTGAATATTTCTGTGCTTTAATATAATAAAATGGCACTCAATCAACTTAGGTTTCTTCTGTCTGGGTGCCATTATCAATCCTCTCTTGTTGAGAAACAATTGTTTTTTTAGGCAATCAAGTTTATGCAAGGCATTGAAAAGGAAAGAGATGATAGACACTATATTAAAGAGATAATAAGAAAAAGGAAGAGAAAAAAATTAGTATTTTTATTAACTTTATTGTAGGATGAGTTTGCTAAACTGAAGGGAAAAGATTTTTTTAAAAAGACTTTCCATTTAATGCTGAATAGAGATATCTATCACATTAGCACACATCTCTACCAAACAAATGTCATGTGCTATCCTGGGAGACCCTGAAGGAAAAAGAAGAAAAATATAGGAAGAAATACAACAGCAAGTAAAAAGAGATGGGTCTGTGTGTGTGACGTTTGCCCTTTGTGGCCCCTGTTTGTTTCCCCAAAACAGAGAGCACATGAAAGCAAACCAAAAGCCCCTGTTTGTCTCCCCAAAACAGAGAGAACATGAAGGCAAACAAAAAAGACATCTTTTCATGCGCTGCCACCAGTTGATTTCTTTATCAACATACTTTTCTTAGGAAAGATGAAGGTCCATTCATCACTGTCTTTTGAATAAAACAGATTTATTGATTACAGATGTTTCTAGAATAATTCTTAAGTATCTTCTTCAGGTTCATCAAGCATCAATAACAATCTTCTATATTATCTTACAGGTTTCTGTTCACTCCTCAGACTAATCACACCTCAGATCTCCCAACTATCTCTTTCCCTCTCTCTCTTTCTAACTCTGACTCAACTCTATTCCACCCCACTCTGTCTCAGGCTCCACCTTTTAACATCTCTAGTGGCCCCACCCCTCAACCATATCCACATAAAACTTGAATAATGCATGACTTATTTAACATAATAAGGGTGAACGCTACAGGGGGAAACAAAACACAACAAAAAAGTCAGCCAGGCATACATGCCACATGTCATCTGGGCCTCAAGCTGTCTTACTCTAATCAAACTACAACTCTGGAGAAATTGCATCAGCATCTATTCAAAAGCTGTATACTTAAATGGGTATGGGGGTTAATTTCAAGAGTGCCTTATCCATGAATAGAAATGAAATGCACATGAATGTTATGAGGAGAGTTGTATGAATCAACTGAGACATCACAGTGAGGCTGCAATAATGGATTCAACAATTTGGTGTCTGGGTCTCTGCTCTTCATTTCAATCTAACTATGCCCAGGGGAAGTACAATCAATGTTTTTGTCACTACAACCTTCTTGTTTCAATGTGAGGCAGGAGGCAAGTCAGAACCACCACTCGCTGGAGCACTGTCCATCCTCTACAAAGGGACTGAGTGTGGAGGGAAAGATGAATCCCAGTTGACTCTGGAGGAGGCCCCAGGGAAGCTCCTACATGAAACTGAAGAAGAGGCCTTGGCCCAAAGAGTGAGGGAGATGGGAGTGAAAGAAGAACAGTCAGAGAGGCGGGAAACACTGGTAGAAAGGGGGAGGAGATACAAATAGGGGAAGGACAAGTGATAGGAAGAGAGGGGGCATTACCACCTGGCTGGGAATGGATCTGGATGCAAGATCCATGAACCTAGAGGTGGGAGAGACTGTGGGTGCTCAGAGAGGAGACAGATGATAGGAGAAGATCAGTGATCCCACCCTGACTCTCATACTGGGGAGAGATAGAAGCTAGAGTGGCATAGAAAGAGAAGGTGGAGAAAGAAAGATGTAGGAGAAACAAATGGTGAGTTCAGGAGATGAAGAAGATGGAGGAATCGAGAAGGACTGGGAGACAGGGAGGGGTCCCAAGAACTCCTTGGGGACGTGGTTGTGCCCTTGTTGTCTGTACCATCGGCCATGACCTTAAGGGACTGGACCCCATCAGACCTTCCAGGACCATGGAACTCTAGTTACGGCAACCCTTTTGTTGTAGAAGATTGGAACCCCGTGTCTGCCCCATTGGTGGAAGGAGACAAAGACTCTGCATTGGTTAAAGACACTATTTGTTGATACCAAAATAAATGTTCCACAATTGGCAAAGCAAGTTAAGTCTGGTGTAATTATTGGTTGGGGGAAGATCCTCCAGTGCAGAAACTTGGACCCTCACAATCGACAAATGGTTATGAATTTCCTCCCTCCTTTTAAGAATTTAGAAGAGCAGTCTTTGAATCATAGAATCAAGAAGTTGGAAGGGGCCTATGAAGTCATCGGGTCCAACCCCTTGCTCAGTGCAAGAATACAAATCAAAGGATACCTGCCAGGTTGTTGCCCAAATTTCTCTTCAATGCCTCCAGTTTTGGAGCACTAACCACCTCCTGAGGTAATTGGTTCCATTGCTTTACTGATTCCAACAGTTAAGAAGTTTTTCTTGATATTTAACCAAAATCTGGCTTCTTGTAACTTGTGTGTCCTGCACTCTGGGATGATTGAAAACAGATCCTGCCCTACCTGCTGTATGACAGCCTTTCAAGAATTTGAAAAAATGCTATCATATCTCTTCTCAGTCTTCTTTTCTCAAGGTGAAAAACCACTTGCTTGTATGATTTACTATCAATGGCCACTGTTGAATGTATATTATCTTGCATTTGCTGTACCTGCTTGCAGTTAAGTGTTCAGGCAACTCTAGTTACCCCCTAAGCATTGGGTTCTAAAAGTTAAGACTTGTTGTGACAGCCTGTTGTGGCCCTGTGAATTCAGAACACTGATACATGTATTTAACTCAGGGATAAACTACACATTACACTATATCTAAGAAGGAATTCATTAGAAGACAGAATTATCACAGCACAAGCTTTTACATTCCACAGTTTGAAAATTAACTTGCTTTCTTTTGTGACTGGACATTGGGAGGCAAGTACAAGCTTTGTTTGCAAGATTACTCAGGCATGAAGATCTGCACAAATCATGTTTCTGGAACATTGATGTTAGCTTCTAACAATGGACTATATGTAATGTAAAACTTAACCCTCTGTAACTTGTAGTTCAATCTATATTTTCCCAGTGGACATCACTTGTGAATAAGTCCTTAGCAAAGCTATTTCATTGTTTTGAAGAAGCAGATTTGAAAGCAGTCTATACTCTCTGCAAATATGTACTCATTTCCTATTTCTGCTTTATATGGAGCAAACCAGAGTTGTTTCAGATGTCCTCTTTAAAAAGTTGGCTTCAAAATTATCTGAAGTTATGAGGATATGCTTTTAATTTGACATCAGATTTTATTTTGTGATCATGATGACTCAAGTCCCAAAATTGGTAGTATATTCTCCTCATGTTTACTGTCCCATATTTTGTATTGACTCATCACACTGGGTCTAAGCTATACTTCCATCACAAGAATCTAGCCAATGACATCCTGTTCTTTAACCCTCACAAGAAACCTAGGCTGCAAACCTGTAACTACTTTCTTAAGAGTAAGCTCCATTGAATTCAGTAGACTTAACCTTTGAATATTAACAGATACAATTTTGTTAGCTGCAGTGCACATCTGATTCTGACACAACATTTAAAAGATGCATCTTTTATGGCATACTGAGCAATTCAACTCCTCCAAATAAATACTTCAAAAGCCAAGGGAAGCCTAAATAATTTCTATGCTTTCTCCTCATTCTAAGCAGCTGCACACATTCTGTTCTGATAATCTTGACAAAATCTTGAAGGCTAAGTGCAAACCAGTGTTGTGCTAAATGCTACTTTAATAGAACACTCCAATACTTTAATATTGGTGTGCTTTATTTTACTCCTTTCTACAACATTTAGGTTTCCTAGAGCAGTGGTCCCCAACCTTTTTGGGACCGTGGACCGGATGAGGAAGGTGGGGCACACCCTGCAGTCATGCGAATGCGCAAAGGAGCATGGACTTTCTTGTATGTGTGTGCACGCAAAGTGGTGGGGGAGTGTGCGGGCACATGCCAGCGCGTGCACTATCACTCCCCCACCCCTTCATGCATGCGCCAGAACACCTGCATGCCTATGTATTCCCCCCTTTGCGCAGGTGCTTGGGCGCATACGTGAAGGGGTGGGGGAGTGCTCACACCGGTGCTGGCATGCACACATGCGCAAAGAAGCTGTGTGGGAGTGCATGCGGAGGGGGGCAAGAAGTCTGTCTTCACGACCCAGTCTCACTCAGGCCACGGACTGCACCAGGCTGCGGACCGGGGGTTGACGACCTCTGTCCTAGAGGCTGTAGGGCAGCCTGAAATATGTTTAATAATCACAGGAATGAGAAAACATTAAAAGGAATCTCATAATGTGCAAAGATACTTAAGAACTTACAAAAGCAACTGCAGTCATCTGTAAAACAGCTGTTTATATTAAGAAAAGGGGGATGTTTGATCACAACACATTTTTGTCCACTGATGTTATTTGGGAAACAACAGGTCTTTCAATCATGTACATTAATTCCACAACAGTGTTCCTCAGTTTTGTTTGCAAAAATTTGAATAGAGCTTTAGCTTAGCCTGTTGGAAACAAAAAATGAATAAGTCCACTTTACACTTTAACTAAAGAAAGCAGCAGGATCAAATTAACTTCTGCATGCCCACTCCATTTCCAAATTAACAAAGAAATCTGAAGGGATACTTACAGGCACTGTGTGTATGTCTTGCTGGATTTCAACGTTCACAGTGTTCTGATGGCAAGTGGCTCCTAATCCCATCTGTTAAACACAGACTGTATCTATGACTCACCAGGAAATGACCAAGGTTTTTCTTGTGGGCAAATGTGTACCTTTATTGTTGAGTTGAAAGGAGTTTCAAATGGGAAAACCCAGGGGATGTTAGTATGTTTTTTAAATTTATCTTGCTAAATAGGTCGAATATTAATTGTTCAGTACAGTCCATGCTTTGAGGTTTGTTATACTTAGTTTCCTTGTTTCATTTTCTCTTTGCAATCAGTATACTTTTCTGTAGTATCTATATTTTTATATAGTATATAACATCTTTTTTGATTGATTTTCTAAAACTCACCCGAGTAAAGCAATATTTATACTGTGAATAGATAATTGTGTGACTTTAATTGTGGTGAAGGAGAATGTGTACAGTGTATTGACTAAGTTACTCTACAATAGGATATTTTGAGTAAAACAGAGAGTAAGGAAGAAAAGGGCAACAGTTTGTTTTTGTCATTTGGCCATTCTGAAATGAACAACATGTTCATTGTCAATGTTGTTTTTATCCTATATAGGTTTACTTGGGAATAACATAATAAACCAAGCGGGAATAACATCTGATAATATGTCTTTAAGATAGCATTATTGTCAGTCAATGGCTATTTTTATGAATTATCCTTTTGGTTAAAAATGAAACCTTAGGATTATTACACCTTACATTCGTTCCTACAGATATTAGGACAAATTTAACTGAACTACACAATCTATTTTCTGCTGTTATTTGCACATAGATACCTTTCATTTTATGTAGTATATTACATTTGGAAGCTCTGGCTGCTTGATTCCATCCCTTTTTAAACTGGATGAAAGATATGGTGTGTTCAAAATCACTAGCATTTTTTTAATAATTTATCAGAGTGTTAAAATATATGTTTTCGTCTTGAAGTGGGCTTATAAGAGTAGTAGAAGTTCTTTGGTCTACTATAAACCTTTATATATACAAGTTCACCCTTGCAATTATTTCACTTCCCATATTTAGCTCATCAAAACACACATCACTCTTCATGGTTATGCAGTACTAGAATTATCCCGGACAACCCAGATAGTGTGGTTACTTACCTTGAGCCAGACATCCTGGAAAGTTAAGTCATGTGGGCCTTAAAAAGCATGGCTAACAAGAAGGCCAGTGGAGGTGATGGCATTCCAGTTGAACTATTTAAAATCTTAAAAGATGACGCTGTTAAGGTGCTACACTCATTATGCCAGCAAGTTTGGAAAACTCAGCAGCAGCCAGTGGATTGGAAAAGATCAGTCTGCATCCCAATCCCAAAGAAGGGCAGTGCCAAAGAATACTCCAACTACTGTACAATTGCCCTCATTTCACACGCTGGCAAGGTTATACTCAAAATCCTGCAAGGTAGGCTTCAGCAGTATGTGGACTGAGAACTCCCAGAAGTACAAGCTGGATTTCGAAGGGGCAGAGGAACTAGAGACCAAATTGCTAACATACACTGGATTATGGAGAAAGCCAGAGAGTTCGAGAAAAACATCTACTTCTGCTTCATTGACTACGCAAAAGCCTTTGACTGTGTGGACCCACAGCAAACTATGGCAAGTTCTTAAAGAAATGGGAGTGCCTGATCATCTTATCCCTCTCCTGAGAAATTTATATGTGGGGTAGGAACCAACAGTTAGAACTGGGTATAGAACAACTTATTGGTTCAAAATTGAGAAAGGAGTACGACAAGGCTGTATATTGTCTCCCTGTTTATTTAACTTATATGCAGAATATATCATGCGGAGGGCTGGACTGGAGGAATCCCAAAATTGAATTAAGATTGCCAGAAGAAATATCAACAACCACGAATATGTAGATGATACCACTCTGATGGCAGAAAGTGAGGAGGAATTAAAGAACCTCTTAATGAGGGTGAAAGAAGAGAGCGCAAAAAATGGTCTGAAGCTCAACATCAAAAACACTAAGATCATGGCCACTGGCCCCATCACCTCCTGGCAAAGAGAAGGGGAAGATATGGAGGCACTGACAGAGTTTACTGTACCTTCTTGGGCTCCATGATCACTGCAGATGGTGACAGCAGCCACAAAATTAAAAGACACCTGCTACTTGGGAGGAAAGCGATAAAAAACCTAGACAGCATCTTAAAAAGCAGAGACATCACCTTGCCAACAAAAGTCCACATAGTCAAAGCTATGGTTTTTCCTGTAGTGATGTATGGAAGTGACAGCTGGATCTAAAGAAAGCTGACCGCTGAAGAACTGAAGCTTTTGAATTGTGGTGCTGGAGGAGACTCTTGAGAGTCCCCTGGACTGCAAGGAGAACAAACCTATCAATTCTGAGTGCTCACTGGAAGGACAGATCCTGAAGCTGAGGCTCCAATACTTTGGCCAATACATAAGACTCCCTTGAAAAGATGCTGATGTTGGGAAAGTGTGAAGGCAGGAGACGAAGGGGATTACAGAGGATGAGATGGTTGGACAGTGTCATCGAAGCTACCAACATGAATTTGACCCAACTCCGGGAGGCAGTGGAAGCCAGGAGGGCCTGGCATGCACTGGTCCATGGGGTCATGAAGAGTCAGACACGACTAAACAACAACAGAATTTGAGGGGAAAGAAGGAAGGTCACTGGTGGTTAATCAGAAAAAAAGGGCTTTTGACCTTTCAGTCCTTATTTTCCAGCTTCTGCCTTGCAGTATGAGGTGGTCACAGTTACTAAACATAAACAAATTAATGGAATGAAATCTAGTTGCTTCTATTCATAAAACACAAAGCTTGGATTTAGTAGACACCAGAGTGAGGGCTACTGCCTTCATACCATTTTATAGGTTTGCTTGAACTACAGTGGTGTCCCGAAAGACGATAATGCGTTCCATTGAAATCACTGTTTAGTGAAATCATTGCCTTGCAAAAAGCGTTTCCCCACTGAAATGCATTGAAATCCGTTTAATGCGTTCCAATGGGGAAAATAGTCATCATCCAGCGATAATCGCCCTTAGAGAAACCGTTTTAAATTGCTGTCTTGAGAAGCATTGTTCTGAAAACACCCTAGGGAAGCCATTTTGCGGAGCCGCCGATCAGTTGTAGTAGTCATTATGCGAAGATCTCCCATAGGGAAGCCATTTTAAATCGCTGTCTTGAGAAGCACTGGTCCCGAAAACACCCTACGGAGCCATTTTGTGGAGCTGCCAATCAGCTGTTAGAATCGTCCTCGGACCGAAATGCTGTATAGCAAAATTCCCCCATAGGAAACACTGTTTTGCGAAGTGCAATGGCGGTCGCAAAACCTCATTGTAATGCGGATTCGTCATTATGCGGGGTAATAATCTTGCGAGGTACCACTGTATTTGGCCAATTGAATGGAGGATGCTGTACCTTACAGATGCTTTAGCAGGGCCCCTTCATGTTTTACTATAGGACAGGCAAAATTCAGTGCTTCAGTTGTTGAACTGGGACCCCCACCATTCTTCACTTTTGGCCATGACTCAGAAAGTTACAGTCCAACAATACTGAAGGAATGTATTTGTGTACTCCAGTTGTTTGCCAATGGATAAATATAAGTCAACATGTGTTGGAACTATATGTTGCAGATAACCTGCAGCAACCTTTTTTAACTGTGGGAAATCTGCAAACTAGTGCCAAACTGTTCCAATCACATGCCTATTTTAATGAGCTGAAAACGGAGACACTGTCCCCCTAACTCCTGGCCAAATATAACACTGGCCAGTCAGTACCAATGTGTTGGGAAGCTTCCCAACATGGCTGCCCACTTTTGCCAAGGTGGTCAGCTTCAGTGGCTCTGTTTTTGCCCCACATGGATCAAGTGAGGACTTTGCTGCTCTTTTTCCTCTACCAGGTTTACGTGTCTAGCAGGTGTCTGGATTACAATGGGCGGTGAGCACATGTTAGCAGCAGAAGTGTGTGGGGGTGTCTCCCTGGCTGATGAAGATGCCTGCAGCTTTGCCACTGCATTCCCTGGCCGTCACCATCCAGCTGCACACAGGACGAGCAAGTTGTCCGGAGGAAGAAGGATTCTCTTGCCCAGCTGAAGCCCTACTGCACTTTAAAACAGTGCATATGGAGTGCAATTTAAAATGCAACAGAACTTACACTTCAAATGATGAAAAAGTGTTCCAAGCAAGTATGTAGTTAACCACTTCTGAGCACTGCAGGAAGAACGATGGGAATCTGGAAGCAAATACACTGTACAAGAAAACACATAGAATCACCTTTTATGGTTTAATTCTCTGAATAGGTCAATCAGTTTTTCTACTGAAAAGGTGAAGATTTTTGAAGCAGTATTTTGACAATTTACTGTATCAAGCCAGGGACATGGTAACCCATAATTTCTGTGATGAGAGTTCCATGGGTGTTCCCCTTTCAAAGATAAAACAAGCAGTTTTGTTACAAAATTATCTTTATTTGAATCTTTTATCTGTTTCCCAACAAAATTCACAAACATGTTTTGGAAGAAAAAATACTTGTATTATCTTGTAATTACAATGGATCCCCACACACACACATAGAATGGCTACATTTGCACCCATTTTAGACACCTTTCAGTTCTGACTTTCTTCCCTGAAGAACAAAGGTGGTTTAAAACAATTTCAAGTGCTATGAAAGAATCTTATTATGCCTGAAGCAAATTGGGCAGGCATGTATACTCTTCAAATAATACAATAATGCGGAAATGCCAGAAACAATACAGTATTATGAATGACTAAGAAAAAGTCAATGTTGTTTGCAAAACTAAATTCATAAGGATGTTCTGGTGCTGAAATTTAAAAGATCACTTGGTTACTGATGACAAACATAAACAAAAATAACTCAATAACTCTTTTCAGAATACTTGCAAGCAATTGCATCATTCCTATTGCATGGCAAAGTCTGTAGTTATTACTACCTGCAGGACCCTACTGCTATATTTTTGTACATCATGCCTTAAAGCATGCTTACATGCTTTCAAGATGGAATTCATAGCACACTGGATTTCTTAAAGTACTGGGAATCTCCTCCCACTACAGCTGAAAGATTTCCAATCTTATGTGAAACCCTGTTTATTCTTAGTTATACTGCGGTCATTATATTGTACTGCACTGGAACAGAGTTTAAGGGACTTAAAGGGCATGTCAGAAGGAGGTGGTGTGTGGTGCTGGATTCCATAATTAGTTTGCTGAAAATATACTTATTTCTATGTAAAATTATTATGATTTGAGTGGATTAACAATTTACATTAACTAACTGCTTTGTTTATCAACTATTGAGCCATACTACAGAACTCATATTTGCAATCAAATTGTTATTGTACTGAATAGGTTACATGGAAATATTGTTCAGTTATCGCAAAACAAGATGAGCTGTTTTTCCACATGGAATGAAAACAAGCAGTTCAAGTATTACCTAGTTTTTATAAGGAAAGTCTTCCCAGGTAGTGAAAGAGAAGGAAAGTACAAGGGATGCCTAACAATAATTAGAATTTTTTTCAGCGGGTTGGAGCCAAGCATTGACTGCTTAGACTAGTCTCACTGAAATCAGTTACAATTGAGTCATAATTTCCATGGACTTAAGCATGGCTACATCTGGACCTAGCCCACAAAACCATCAATCAGGTTGGGCAAAGCGTAGTTCTCCAGGTTAGCTGGACTGCAGCTCCCTTTAGCTCTAGCCACCACAGCGAATGGCGAGGGAAAGCTGGGAGTTATAGATTTAGGAAGCTGTACGCTGACTACTTTTCATTTACATTCACACTGAGACCAAGAAATATGGGTTGAACAACAAAGTCGTTCAAAACCTAAACACTGAAGATATCATTCAACTTTTAATCACTGGAAGTTCCAGTATGCTTTGGCCATAAACCTGTATGATTCAAATCCTCCCTTTTCTCCTCTGCAGATAACTAATGGCAACATTTAAGGAAAAAAACCACAGTGGTTTCCATGTGGCAATACAGCACTAGAAACAAAATAAAAGAAATGAATACAGGAAAAAAGAGATTTTTTTTATACGAGAGGGGAAAAAAAGAGATCCCACATTAAGTGAAGCAAGAATACTATTAACATAATTCTTTTTAGTCATGACAGGAACAAAGAAGCAACTACCAACATATGCACATACAGGTGGTATATGGGAAAGGGTTGTATTATAATCAACTGAGGTAATTCTGGTATTGCATATTTCAAGAGAATCGTACTATTTCAAGAATTAGGTTCATAGTTGCTTTTCGCATTTAGGTGAGCTGAGTAAAAGATTTGTCAAATATTCCAGTCTGGCATGGTGGGGGTGGAAATAAGGCACCTTCAGCATCTCATTGTCCCATATCACCCAGACTGCCAAAGTACAGCTCCTTTGTTAGCATAGAAACAACACATGGAACCTGCTTCTTCTCACTGTAGCGGGGGTCATCAGACTGTGATTCATAGTTTCTAGCTACCCTGTAGTTAACCATGGTCAGAATCTGCAGAATCTCCAAATCTTTCGCATGCTTGTTCAGAACAGAGCAAAGAGACTGCACAAACCAGGAGCCTTTTCCTGGATTTCTCCAAGAATAATAACCTATAACCAAGAAAAGAGACAAAATGTTGCTTCTCGCCACAAAGAGTGAAAGGCACTGTGGTGACAATACAGAAAATACTTCATGTTGCTACAAAGGGTGGCTGTATCTTCTTCATGATTTGAACATACCAGATGTTTATTAGGCAAACTGGGGAAGAAAATTGTATTGCCTGACTCTGTGTGTTACAACCAAAGAAAAGGTTTGTCTATAAAATAGCAATACATTTTATTACATCTTTAAAATTCAATTTTCAAATACCTATATTTCTCCCAATAATTTACATTTGATTTTACTCTCACTCATCCATAAGTCAAGCTGCCACTTTCTCCAATCATACCTGGCACAGTGGAATATGCATACAAGAAATCTGCTTCTACTGGGATCTTGTATCTTGGATTAGCATCCATTTCCAGGGCATCATCTGAAGCACCTGAATCGGTCTGAATACCATCATCAAATTCAGAACCCCGACAAGCCTGAAAGCATATTAGCAGTGTGGAAAATATGTTTCACATGCACAAATAGAACATATTTGGCAGGAATTTTATGGTGATTCTGCAGCAGATACATGTCATAACTAAGTCTGTAACTATGCCTTATAAACTGAACATGAAACTGTGCCTTCCAAATCTTAATGAGCTACACTAGATAATCATGGTAGCTTACCAACACAAATCCTAACAAAAAGATTCTTGGCCAAGGGCTGCAGCCGATCTATTTCAGTTGCATCCTGTTTATAAAAATATCCAGAGGGGGCTACTGCTGCTGGCCATGCTTTTTATTACAGTGGTACCTCGCTAGACGACGACCTTGTAAAATGATGAATCCGCATGACGATGAGGTTTTGCTATCGCTATAGTGATTCACAAAACAATTATTCCAATGGGGGATTTTCGCTGGACGATGATTTGGTCCGTGCTTCACGGACCATTTTTTCGCAAGACGATGATTTTTACAGCTGATTGGCAGCTTTGCAAAATGGCTTCCCTGTGTTTTCGGGACCCATGCTTCACAGGACAGCCATTTTAACAGCTGATCGGCGCTCGCAAAATAGCTTCCCTATGGACGATATTCACAGGACGACGATTTATTTTCCCCATTGCAACGCATTAAATGGGTTTCAATGCATTACAATGGGGAAACGGTTTTCGCATGACAATGATTTCACTAAACAGCAATTTCTATGGAACGGATTATCATCGTCATGCGGGGCACCACTGTATTTAGCCATGACAGGTCACTGCAGTACTGCAATTAAATCACTGTCCTATGAGACTTACAGCGACTTTAATAGGGCTTTTAAGATAAGTGAAATATTTAAGGAGTAGTTTTATCAGTTCCACTCCCTCAGTGAGTTTTCACAGCTGAATAGGGATTTAAACCTGGGTGTCTAGAGCCCTAGTCCATCATTATATCTACGACACCACACTGTGCACCAAATATTATACTTATGTTGATGTATTTTTTATGTTGGAACGCTCCCTGCCCCCAAATTACCCAAAATTGACCAAAAAAGTACAGTGATGCTTTGACTTACAAACACCTTGACCTATGAACTTCTTGACTTACGAACAGCTCCGTTCGCAAAATTTTGCTTTGACTTGTGAACGGAGCTTTAACTTACGAACAAAAAAAGGCAGGGGAAAAGGGCAGGAAATTCAAATGGCCTCCTGGCCAGGCTCTCACTCCGGTGCTGGGCCCATCCACGCTCCTTGCTTCCCAGCTGGGCTCCGGGAGGCAGAGCCCAGCCGGGAAGCAAGCAGTGGGGATGGACCCAATGCTGGGAGTTAGAGCCTGGCCGGGAGGCCATTTGAATTTGCTGCCATTGGTCCACAGAGGGCGGCGAGGAGCGCCGAGGACCGACATGGCTGCCACGGCGATCAGCTGCTGGTGCCAGTTCCGGAAGCCTCCTGGCAGAGGCGGTGGAAGTCTGGGAGGCCTCCCGGAGGCTTCCTGGCAGCAACGGTGGAACTCCCGGATGCCTCTCGGCAGCAGCGGGGGAAGCCCAGGAGGCTTCGGACTGGTAAGGTGCTGCTTTTTCCTTTTTAAAAAACTGTTCTGGGTGGGTTTTGGAGGGTGGGTTTGGACTGGGGGGGGTTATGTTTCCGTGTGATGTTTTTTTGTTTTTGGATTTGTGGGTTGTTTTTTTCCAGTCCCAACGTAGGACTTGCTCTCTTTATTTTTATTTTTAGGTATTTTTTTGAAATGCTGGAACAGATTAATCCAGTTCCTATGCATTTCAATGGGAAATGCTGATTTGACTTATGAACACCATTCCGTTACGGATTAAGTTCGTAAGTCAAGGCACAACTGTAATAAGGTGAAAATGGAAATTTTGCATGGTTACAAGGATATGGAGAATCAAGGCTGCACTCCAGTGACATGACGATTACATTGGAAGCTCCAACATCGTGAGTCAGAATAACTGTCCTTCTAGGCAAGTTTACTTTGATTGATGGGACAGCTTGGATAACCATTGCCAATCTAGATATTGATGAAATTAGGTATGTCCCAGATACTTTTGATAAGGTCTTTCAAACTGTAACATGCTGAAGCTTAAAGCTTGGGAAGTAACACCACAGAAAGGTCAACAGAATGTAGTCCAGGCTGAAATACTCCTTAAACTCAAATTTCCTTAAATCTTTCAAAGCTTCCAAAAAGAGATTAACATAGTTAGCCCCTCAAAAGATTATGACAGATCTCAAAGAGTAGTAAGTTTAAAAACCTGGAACAGGTTTTTTTTTGCTTCTTTTTAGTTGCTTATTTGGTTTACTGTTATTAAAGCAGTATTAACCTTCGTTCTGCAAGGCTTTCTGTTCACTGCTTCTGGTAAGTGCTTATAAGCTGTTGCAAAAACAAACATTGAGCAAGAGCAAACTAGCATCAAACATCTCCTTACTTGAATGAAAAATAACTTTGGTTTTCCAACAAGGCTCTGGCACTTGTCTCCTCTGAAAAGAGATGTCAGGTCCTTGATTGCCATAGCTTTATCTGTGCCATAAATTAGACCCTCCTCTCCATGGCTCAGTAAGATGCAGGCAAAACAAGCAGCATCACTGTGGTTTTCAGATGCAGCTGAAAATTGAAAACATTTTTGTCAGGGCAGTGGGATTTCTTAAGAAACCATATGTGCCAAGTTTTTCCTTTTTAATTAAATTCAAGTTAGAAAGACTAACTTCTATACATCTAGCATGGGAATCATGTGGCCCAGAGGCTGCAAGCAGTCTCAAGCCTTTATTTGCAGACTTTGGGCTCCCCCCCCACGCCCCCAATATGTGGTTGTTTTTAATTTTCCCTTCCAAAAGTCCCAGGAGAATCACGTATGTAATAGCCTCTAAAGCAGGTGCTTTCCCCGAGCCTTGGCCATAGTCAAAATGTACACACACCTAGAGCCTGTCCACCCTGCTGTACATACTTATTGAGAAACATGCTTATAGATTCAATAGACCAAACAGAAGTTGGTCTAAACTATGCATTAGATCAACTGTTCTGTAAGGGTCATGAAAAGAAGACATAAGAAAACTAGACAGTTCACAAATCATGGAAAAAAACCTAATACAATTAGCTTCTTTTGTTACCTTTACCAAGTTTTTCTTCCATTTCATCACAGCGGAGATCGTTGTACACAGTAACATCAAACCCGACATTTCTGAAACATTCTTGCAGGTCCCCAGCATCTTTATCAGTGCCATTTCGTACACCCATCCCTGGTAAGACAATAAGCTAGTCATTATGGACACATGAAAGTAATTTTCATAAGCCATCTAATCAATGTAAGAGAAACGTTTTAAAACTCAGAATTCTGAGTACCATCCACACAACAGCTCATTTTTTTAGCTGAATATTCATTCTTGCTTTAGTTTTTATCTGGCAGTAAGATGCTGTTTGATTGGCTGAGTCCTCATGTATTGACTTAATGACCATTAGACAGCAGCCATGACTATATTTACATGGCAAGTGTTAGCACATTTAAATTTGTTTGTGTAAAACACTAATACTCTCGCCTTTCCTATTAAGTTCAAGGCAACTCACAGCAAGTATAAAATAATGCAATAAAACAATCTACATTATAGTATTATTCAAAGTGCTGGTTGTAACCTATAAAGCCCTAAATGGCTTTGGTCCAAGTTATCTAAAAGACCACATCTTTCTCTATGAGCCTGCCCAGGCTTTAAGAACATCAGGGGAGGCCTTTATCTCAGTCCCACCACATTCACAGGTGCACTTGGTAGGGGCATGGATGGGGCCTTCTCTGTCACCACTCCCAGGTTCTGGAACTCCCTTCCACAGGAGGCCAGCCTGGGCCCATCTTTGTTGTCCATCTGCAAGCAGTCAAAGACCTTTCTCTTCAGGCAGGCTTTCACTTAATAATTGATGGTCTCAGAGGAGTTTCTAAATGGATTGTTGCACTTTGTTGTTTCAAATGTGTTTTAGTACTGATTTTATTACAAATGTTAATACTTGTTTAATTCTTTTAAAATATTTGTACACCTACTGTTTTTAGCTTTTAAATATTGTCTTTCTAATGATATAACCCGCCTTGGGTTCTTTTTAAGGAGAAAGGTGGGATAAGAATATTTTAAATAAATAAAATACTATGAACCACTGCTGTATTAACATTTTCACAGAAGGGATAAAAACCTGCATACCTGTTTCTCTTGCAAAGTTCTTGTTGTTTACTATAATGCATTTACCAAGTTTCTTATAATCCATATCGTACTGGAATGTTGGGGTAACAATTCGATACTGGCTACTGGCCTCTGGCTGCTGATCCTGTCCATTCTTCTTTCTTCTGTAAAAGGGTAAAGTGTCCATATTCAAATGTTTCAAATTACAGCTGATGCATGTTCAGATGAGGCTATGATCAGACAGTTTGCTTCGACTTTGCTTGGCAATCTACAGATAGAGCTGCTGTTTATAACGCTGATGGTAATATGTACACTTGCTCTATTACTAAAAGCAGACACTGCACATGATTGAGTGTTACTGTGTCTAACAGTGGGTCGCGCAACCTTAGAATATTCCCAGAAAGGCAAAACAGAGGGCAGCAATTCCTCTTTCCTATCCCTGTAGCCTGATATACCCTCAAAATTTGACTGGGTAAAAAAGAAGAAAGTCTAGTAGTTAAAAACAAAATTTCCCACTAAATTTACACAGCTCATTCGCTTAGACTCAGTGAATTCTAAGTTAGTATTCACAGAAGTGTACTATAAATATGAAGAATCTACACTTTTAAAAAAGAGCCAGTGTAGTGTAGGGTGACAGGCTTGGTCTCAGAAGATCCGAATTGGAGCCTCTACTCAGCTATGGAGACTCACTGGGTGTATATATGTGTGGCATTGGTAAAACCATTTCTTACATACATCATGCATCTGTTAGAAATCCTATAAAAATCACCACACATTTTAAAGAAAAGGGACAGTGGAATTAACAGCCAATTGGCTAAGTAGCTAAATGATAGATTCAGTCTTGATGCTTCCTTTATAACAACCTTTATGGATTTACTTCTGGTGTCTTTTGATCACTCTTGTCTCTTGCTGAAACGCAAAGTTCCAAAAGGTCGCTGTGTTCAAAATGCTATCCTGTGAATAGCTTACACTGGGACAAATCTCTCCTGGAGAAATATGGATATTGTATTGTGAAGCAACACAGCCGTATAATGTTATCTGTGAGAACATGGGGGGGGGGGCTGTCATTTGTAGACATACATTCAAACTTCTGGGTGAATACAAGCTTTTGTCCATAAAAGCCCAACACAGAATGATACTTACATATCTTGTAATGACAAGTACCTTAAGCTGAAAAATACTAAGTTTTGCATTACAAAAAGTGATTCAGATGTGCTGAGTTATACAAAAGTCAGTGACACACATAGCAATGAATGGATCATGTGCAACCACACATTTTCCACTTGTGCATTTCACCTTTTTTGATTGATACACACTGTCAGGTTAATTAAAGGTTAAACTACAAAGTAATATTTTAGTACTGCTATTCATAATTTACAAAATAAACAGTTAAATAAGAATTAATTTTTAAAAAATCTTGTAAAAGGACCATTAGAATTTTTTTCTCGTTTTTGTGCAAACCTCTGCCTCCACTCTGCAAACAGACTAAGCCTGAGCAAAAAAAAAAAAAAAAGTTAAAAAAAAGTTTGACATTTTTCCAGGAACTGAATCAGGAGCTTACATTTTTATAGTTCTTCCTGCTTAGAATCTACTGACTTTGCGGTAAGGGAGACGAAAGCAGAAGGAGGGGGAACCATAACATGCCCATCAGTTTTTATTAAAAAATAAAGATGCTAAAAGACACTGATGTTCCTTAGTCTAGCTACTGTTTTTTTATTTTTCTGGGAAGCAAAATATGGCAAAATGCTTTCAAACTGATACTTTATGAAGAGTTGTTGTAATGTGGAAATGTTTCCAGTGGCATGTAGGAGCGATGTTATATACATTAACTACGACTGGAAAAGGTGTTTGTATGTTTTACTGCAGCATAGTTTATAGGGGATAATTTGGGACAATTTTTGTCCATTTTTTTATTTTAAAGGATTTAAAAAATGGCCAAAATCCTCTACTCAAGTAGCCTTATTTAATGAATGGGAATTTGGGGAGTCAGCTCTTCCGTAAGTTCCACTGATTCAAATCAGCATACTTTGATTTACTATGCTAAGTAACAATATTTTGGCCCATGTGTCACTTATAATCCAAGAAGCAACGCATCACTTAAAAAAAGTTTCATTAGGACTGAAACTTAGTTTAAAAAAATCCAAACATTCTACGCTCAATCTTCCTCCTCTTGCTCTTCCACCTCATTGGATCTGTACCAGCAAAGTGATTATTTATTATAAGTATGCCCATTCCCCCTCAAATTTATTTTCTTGTATGGGCAAGGTGACAGTGGCTTAAGATTTTTATTTTTTGGTCAATGAACGCTACCTAAAGAACCAAATACCTGGTACTTTTCCAATGCTTGGCAGGATATCAAGGAAGCAAATTTGCATAGTACACACAAAAGTTTTTGGAATTTCCCACATTTATATGCCAAAGTAAAAGACTATAAAATAATTGGCACAAGACTAACTGAAGTATATCACTGATGTGTATCATTCTTTGATTTAAGCTCAGGACAAGTACTTTATGATAGAGAGTGATATAATGCATTTTGATCTCGGAAAAAGGAACCCAATTATTACAAAAAAGAACTTACAAACGTGAAAGTTTATGGCATCACACATCTTTTACAGTTCTCTACACCTTAAATTTAACTAAAGCAACACTGCACTACAACACATGCCCATAAACCAATCATATCTTACATGTGTATATCTTGAGGTTTTAGGAAAAGGTTTTGTTTTCACTGGATATTCCCAGTGGGTGCAATTCTACATAGTTACCTGCACACAGGAGGATCAGCCCTTTTTTCCTCCTGGAGCAAATAATTTTCTGTTTCCATTTTAATAGTGCTGTGCTTAGCCAAACCTTTACATGGCATACATTTAAAAATCTATGTATGTTTTTTGTTGTTGTTTAGTCGTTAAGTCGTGTCGGACTCTTTGTGACCCCATGGACCAGAGCACACCAGGCCCTCCTATCTTCCACTACCTCCTGGAGTTTTAAGTAAGTTCTAATAGTACTGTGGGTCTGACTTCCAAGGGAAGATTCACACAATTACATTACTATTTTAGCTAATCTGAAAAGTATTTATTTATTGATCACATTTATATCTTACTTTTCCACCAGTGAGCTCAAGGCTACATACATTTATTGTTACCCCTTTATCAGACCGAGTACCTTTGACTGTCCCACTGAAATTCATGACCAAGTGGTGATCAGAACCCATGTCTCCTAACTCCTAATCTGATACTCAGACCACTACACAGTCCTAGGGTGTAAACATTCCTAGCACTTGTTAGTGACAATAACAATTAGGGTTGGGCATCTGCTTTGGAGAAAGCCTGAATACTGAAGTGGGCAACTCTGGAATATTCAGACTCCGTGTGAGGTGAGGTGCATTTTCTTCATGCAGAACAGCTGTCTAAAATGATTTAGACCCATTTTGAAAGGACCTGACACCTCAGGCTGTCAACAGAGAGATTTAAGACATCCCATCCTCCTAGCTCTCCATATAAGGAACACATAAGGCAGAGAATTTAGAGAGGCAAAAGAGGCAGAAAGTAACTTTGGCAGGGTTCTCCATTTCTAAAACTCCCAATTGCACTTCCTCTAATGTACTGTAGAATGAACCTAAGTGTTTCTAGACAATAGCCTCCTCAACCTAGCCATCAGTAAGCTGTTCCCACCCCCAGCAAATATTTTCACAGTAACAACAAAAATTGAAGATATGGTAGGAAAACAAAGGAAGGGTACAAGAGGAGGATATTGTCATTTGAATAATCTGGTAAAATTCCATGAATAAGGTGGTAAGGCAACAGAGCAGTGGTTGCCAACCTTGGCTAGCCCAACTGCGCTAGTACTGCAATTCCAAGAAGCCTTCACTACCAGCTATGGTTGCTGGGGTTTCTGTGAGTTGCAGACCCAGAACACCTGGGTCATCCAAGATTAGAAACCACTGCAACAGAGTGATACACCTTTCATCTGAATCCAGTCCTTATCTGACCCCTTTCCAGTATTTTCACTATATTTTGGGACCGTGTGCCTGTTCTACCAACAGGATAGCTTCAAAGAAGCATTTCAACACCTGTTCAGTGAATGATTGTGGCCACCAGTTTCCCAGTCTTGCTTGTAGCTTTCCAGTAAGCTTCCACGGCCTGAATAAAATTCTCCCAATACTTTTTCTCTACCTTGTAGTAAAGGACAAGATACCAACTTCCTACTGAATACATGGCTCATTAATATCTTAGAATAGGTGTCAGGAGCCAGAACGCATGCTGATGATGGGAACAGAAATGGTTTTGCCACTTCTGCTATCACATCTTCCATTACCGGGCTCTTCACTATGTAATAGAGTAGTAAGAACATCTCTGAACTAATAAAGAGTTACCGCTGGATTAAGACATGCCAAGGCTCTGGAATACAACAAGTATAAGAGACTTCTAAGCATTTCTCCCCCTATGCAATTTTTAAATCTATTTAATAGAACTTGTTTTCATTGGGGGCCTCTCATAATCTGGGACCTCTTCACGGACTGCTGCTTCATGGATTATGAAGAAAGCCAGAGAGTTCCAGAAAAAAAAATCTACTTCTGCTTCATCGACTACACAAAAGCCTTTGACTATATGGACCACAGCAAACTATGGCAAGTGCTTAAAGAAATGGGAGTGCCTGACCATCTTATCTATCTCCTGAGGAACCTATACGTGGGACAGAAAGCAACAGTTAGACCTGGATATGGAACAACTGATTGGTTCAGAATTGGGAAAGTGTCCTCCGGCCTATTTTACTTATATGCAGAATATATCATGTGAAAGGCTGGACTGAAGGAATCCCAAGCTGGAATTAAGATTGCCGGAAGAAATATCAACAACCTCCGATATGCAGATGATGCCACTCTGATGGCAGAAAGTGAGGAGGAATTAAAGAACCTCTTAATGAGGGTGAAAGAAGAGAGCGCCAAAAATGGTCTGAAGCTCAACATAAAAAAAACCCCTAAGATCATGGCCACTGGTCCCATCACTTCCTGGCAAAGAGAAGGGGAAGATATGGAGGCAGTGACAGATTTCAATTTCTTGGGCTCCATGATCACTGCAGAAGGTGACAGTAGCCACAAAATTAAAAGACGCCTGCTTCTTGGGAGGGAAGTGATCACAAACCTAGACAGCATCTTAAAAAG